GGTTCTTTGTGTATTTCTTCCAGATTTGTGCAGTAATCCATTGTGAATCTTTAGCTCTGTGCAGGAGCGCCCTGTGGTAAAGACCAGTCAGTGCTGCTCTCGCTCTCCATGTGCAGGGTGACTGGTCTTGTAGCTGCCCCACTCCTGTAGATTTCTTCAGGCAGCCTGTAGTTGGTGGTGCCTGCTGGGTCTCTCCAACAGCTCTGCTCTCTGACTATGTGCAGCACAGTAGTGATGCTTTTTAGGTAATATCTGGTTTGCATTGTCATTTAGTTAACACAAAATGGATTTATATCGTTTGTGGCTATAGAGAAATATTTAAAAATGAACGTTTTTGTTCAGCTTTAAAATGTGTTGTATGTATTGCTATGGTCTTCTGCAGAAAACCTAACATTTTAGATCAGATTGCACTGGGCATTGCACTTTTTAGGAAATAATACACAGCATAGTTTGCTGAAAATAGACACAGGTATATTAAAGTATGCATTAACAGGTGTTTAATAAAGGACTTAGGAATATTTTTATTTGATATGCTCACTCTATTGTATCTATGGAGGGTAAACTACAATATATTACATTTTTGTTTTTGGGTTTAGATATTCTTTAGGGTAAAGTCTTAAGGGCAATAAGGCAAGTGCTGGGACTGGCTAATTCTAGGCCACACTACCTTTCATCAGAGCCCTAGCCCTAGCCAGATCCAGCATGTGCTACTGATTTCCACTTCTTTGATAATGGTGGGATTGTTGAGGAACTTCTAAGGCTGTGAATATGTGTTGTAAAGTAACTACCACTCCAAGCTTGCCACCATGATAGCCTATAATTTCAATACAATTTAGTAAACTAAATGTGAGATTGTAGTTCACCGCAGGAGCAAGCTTGGACTTGTTCAGGGACCAGGGGAAACAAAAGTAGTCACCCTCCAAAGAAGAAGCAAGTATGGGAATACTAGCTAAATCAGCCTGGTGATGGGAACTCAGCACAGTTTATATATTATACATGTTCAAATATGCAGTTTGGCTGAACTGTGGTCAGCATCTCTACAGTTAGCTGCACAATTTACATTATATTTTCTTTAGTTGTTTTTGTTTCGTTAGTTTGATATATTACATATTTTGTATTGCCATGGAGAGCTTAATGTTCATTTGTGACAAATAAACCAGTGAAGTGAGCTTTCAGTGTGTTATTTCAGATACATAGCTATAAATTTGTATTAGCTGTGTAGTCATTATGGAAACAGAATATTGATTGAACATAATGGTAAAAGGAAATAAGAAGGGCTATTGGTTGGAGTTATGTTATATTTCTGTCTGTGTAACTCAGGGGTGAACAAATTTTTATGGAGAGCAAGACTCTCCAGTACCAGAAACATTTTTTATAGGAGCAAGCTCCATTGACAACAGCAAGAGAAAACCTAAAACGTTAGACACCAGCTGTAAATTTTAAAGTATTATTAAAGCCCTGTTTAAAAAAAAAATCAGATAGGAGCCTATTCACAAAGCTGCCGAAGGATCTAGCCGTAGCTACTGCTGATCCTTCGGCTAGCTTCGGCCCCAGGACCCCTTCGGTTCCGTAGAACTGAAGGGCTGCTGTACGGGCTATTCAATATAGCCAGTACAGCTCTCGAAGTTGGCCGAGCGGCTCAGTCGAGCCGAAGGCATATGCTTCGGCTCGACTGAGCCGAGGTGAAAGCCGAAGCTGGCTGAACTACTGGCCACTTGCAGAGACAGATCAGCATCCCCTGGTTACCAGGTAACCAGGGACGCTGATCTGTCATTACACTGAGAACACTGCAGAGTTGACATGGAGCGACAGAGAAAGTCAAGTGTTAACCGAAACTGCACGGTGCGGTGCAGAGGGCAGACTTGTAGCTGCTGAATCCTCAGATGGCCACTCACTGGAAATGGGGAAACATCCTCCCATAGACATTCATATACACATCCTTTTATTCCCATGGCTGGACCATGCCATTAATATTACATACACATCACTTTGATCACTGCATAGTCAATGCTGTGGTTTTATCTTAGTGTGATGTAAACCGACTTCTACAATGCCAGGTACCCTCTAGTCTGCCCATCTGAACCCTAGTTTCTGGGATTTATTTGCTGGATTCTAAATGCTTGGTTGATGTCCATTAATTATGTTCCCTCCGCTGGGTTCTCAGTGTAATGACAGATCAGCATCCCTGGTTACCAGGTAAACAGGGATGCTGATCTGTCATTACGATGAGAGCTTAGCAGAGCTGGCGGTGATATGAAAGCCGACTCTGCTGAGCTCTCATCCTAATGACAGAGCGTCGTCCACTGGTTACTAGATAATTAGGTCATTAGGATGAGAGCTTAGCAGAGCCAGCTTTCATATTACAGCCCCCGACAAGCTCTCATTGTAATGACAGCTGGTCCCAGCCAATAGAAAACAGTTGGGTGGAGCTAGCTGTCACTGCTAGCTCCGCCCAATCGTTTTCAATTTTTTTCCTACTTTTTAAACTATTTTTCTATTCTGCGCGTTACCATAGAGGTGCCGAGCCACATTCGGCTATTCACTCACTGCTGTTCGGCATCTATGAGAATAGTCCAAACAGCAGCGAGTAGCCAGCTGGAGGTTCGGCTCAGCCGATCCAAATGTTGGATCGGCTGAGTGGAACTCCTTCTACACTTCGGGTCGGCCGAACATGCTAAGCATGTTCGGCCGACCCGAAGCCAGCCGCAGCAAACCGATGTATGGCTGATTTCAGTCGGTGTACGTCTGAAATCAGCCATACAAGCCTGAAGTGAATAGCCAAACAGTGTTCGGCTCACTTCACTTCGGGTCGGTTATTCACACGGCTGCCTTCGGCAGCTTTTTGAATAGACCCCATAGTCCTGCAGCAACAGCACTTACTATTTTTGCATGTCAGTTGTCCTTTCTAAGCGTTAGTTTGCTTTCAGTTCCTCCTCTTCAAATGCCCCCTTTCCTGGGTCCCTTTATTTTGTGGCTCCGTCCCCTTATAGGGTGCCATGGAGCCACTTTTGCATGTGAGCTCCCGTCACAGATTCTCTAGCATATATTTAAACATATAGTCCACACCTCAAGCCTCTCCTCTTTTCTCCCTCCTCCAAGTAAGTGACTCACAGTAGCTTGCGTCTGTGAGTAGTGCACTGTGCATGTAAAGGATAGGGTCTTAATTTTCCCTACCCGGAAGTCGGGGAAATCAGTGATGTGCCGCGACGGTGAACAGAAAGTATTGTAAAACAGTAAATGGAATGTAAGTGTTTCTGCAGACTTAAAAAGTACTGAGGAATATTTATTATTATTTTATAATTACATATATTTTAAAGAAGTGGATTGTTTAGTACTACTTTATGGAGAATTGGCTACATGGCTTCTGGGATTTGTCCATCCTTGGTGTGATTTATAATCTGCTGGTGCTGAGTATGCCCAAAAAACAAAGTAAAGTCAGGCAGGATACTTACTGTTCGGTATTATATAGAGCCTGATCAAGTCTCTTCACAAATCATTGTATGTGCATAGGGGCCTCTGTATTGCTGGATCTCTTACGCTGCTGTGTAATCATTTTTCATGTATTGTGGCTCTGCGCTCTGTACTATTTCTGGCAAGGCATCATACTTTGTCTAAACACTTAAACAAATGTCTTGTTTGACGGCTTACATTAACATTTCATATGTATTTTTAAAACAAACTTTGTCTATGCGTATGATGTTAAGAAAAATAAATGCATTTTTAGTTCAAATACATGGAATATTGAAGAATCCTAGTAATATGCTACAGCCACAGCTTGAATGTCAGCCAAACTTTCTTTTATCAGATACCTTATAATTCAGTTTAGCTTGACACAGATTTGCAATGCTAATTGAAATAACTATCTAAAAAACACAACTTTTGTATTTTTTCTACAAATATATCTAGAATTTTAGCTTATCGTATAAAGTTTTCATTTTGCTTTTCTTGACACTTTTTATTAGATAGTTGTGGAACTTTAAATCTGCCCTGTCAAGCAGGCTTTGTTAAGATTAGTAGTTATACATCAAGTGGCTGATATTTGCTCTCTACTATTCTTTTGTCCCAATAGGGTTTATATTGATTTGAACTAAAGGGTTATCCCTTCTAATGTAATTTGTATATAGCATATCATGATATCTGTTGGGAGGAGCCATGATACCAGGTTTCACCTGCAGATGGTGGTCAGTTGTGGAGACTTTCAGCCCCATAGTTACTAGACAGACAGGCTGAGCCTGACACAATGTAAGACTTTAAGAACACTATAAATATACATTAGGATGTTAATAAGGTTATGCTGTAAGGAAAATTAAAATGTGTCAGCTTGTAGCCTTAAAAAAAGGCAATCTCATATTAAAGAGTAGTCTTTCTTCTTCAAAATTGTAAAAGTAGTACTGGTAACTTTAGTTGTAGTAATAATGTAGTAATAAAGCATGGCCATTTGTCCCACGGACAGCAAAACAGATGGCCTTCCAAGAGATTTTTTAAAAATGAAGATTCGACTAGGGGTTTGTAAAATATCGCAACCCTCTGGTACTCTACAAAAGTAGAACACCAATTTAGCATTTTTAGGAGCCCTAAGATATTTATTTCTGGTAAATCTAGAAAGTTAGATTACCTTAGTTAGTATGTTTTGATTAAAATGTTAAGAGTAATCCTAGTTTTGCAGTGGTGATGAGGCTCGTTAGAGTACTTTCCTAATACCCACTACTGTAGAAGTAGGAGTAGTAGTAGAGGTAAATAATGAAGACAGATTGGCATTCTTACAGTGTACTTTGGTCTATTTTTTGTTATTTAAATCTTGAGATGAGATTATAGGGTCACAATTGTTTAGAACTAACTGGATCTCTTGACAATATGTCTTAGTGCTGTGACCTCATTAGAAGTTTGTTAGAACAATGGCAGAAAGTGATACATGATTCGTGAAACAATTTGTTTGCTAATTTAATGTACTGTACATCAGTACAGTATCTCAGCTGACTATTTTATTTCTTTTTTGTTAGGGTGATTTTACATGGAACAGCATGTCTGGGCGCACTGTCCGTCTGAAATCAGTTCCCATACAGAGTCTTTCTGAACTGGAGCGTGCACGGCTGCAGGAAGTTGCATTTTACCGTCTGCAGCAAGATTTCGACTTAAGCTGTCAGATCACTATTCCCAAAGGTAAGGGCGTGCTTTGATGATTTTTCATGGTAGCCGAGTGCTTTTTCTTACAGGCTATTTGTGTTTTGTTATCATGAGAATCTTTATTACTTCAGAATTGCAGTGGTTTGGTTGTTCTCCAAACCTTAAGGTTAAATGTTTAAAGAACAACTAAATCTAAAGTACTGGCCAAGTTTATAAAATGTGTGTATTTTTTTTACTAATATTCTATACTTTACTTTTATATATTATATTAAAGCTCAACTCCAGACTTAAAACACAAATTAATCTAGTTATGCCTAAAAAAATTATTATTAACTGTACTCTTCATAGATCTGGAGTAAGCACCTGAATCTGTAATTTAATCAGCCTCTTGCAATCCCCTGCAAAAAAACGTTATACAAGGAGAGGGAAGGGAAGCTCTCAGGGGCAGTCAGAGTTCTACTGTTTTGTGCAGTGTTGTTATTCACACAGTTAACATGCTTACAGGAGGGTAGAGCACAGGAATGACCTAGTCAGTAGGCTGCTGCTCTGTCTTTAGGCTGTGCTGAGTCCTGGACCAGTCTACAGTCAGCGTAACTGCTGTGTAGTCTGCATTGGTCCAGAACCAACTTGGATTTTGCACTACTGAGTTTGAACTTATGGACATTTGGCAATGATGTGAGCTGCATGATATTTAGTCCTACTCCTACATTATAAAATCTTGAACTTTCTGGATGCAGCCCTCCTAGGCGCACATATAGATAGTACACAAAAGTAAAAGGTTGGCTTTAACGTATGTATCTACATCTGTAGCTGGCACTTCACCATATCATAGATAAAGCGTTTGCCTCTTTCTCTATGTATAGTAAGTCACCACTGATGATTAACAAAAAAATCATGCTATGTGTTTGGGCACACCAGTCACATGAATGTTTTAGATGCGTTGAACTCCATTTGGTTAACATGAATGGGAAAATGCAAGTCTACATAAAAAACAATACTGCATACATTACTTTCCCCCCAATAGTCCTCAACACAAAGAATTGATATGCAAAGGCCCTACTGAGTACAGTAGGTTTTTTTACATTTATACATTGTGCCTGCCCAGGCATATGAAGTAAAATGCCTACAAATTCTCCTAGTATGAATATGCCCTAAGCGATTTCTTGTACATCCTAAAAAAATCATTTTAGCATTGCTATGTTTAAAAAAATGGTGTGTCCAATAACATGACTTCAGAAAGACATTGAACATGAAATTGGAGCTGTTTATATGTCCTGAAATAAAAGAAAATTAAAGTCCTAAAGTAACAGACATGGGGTCAAATGAAGTGCTCCTTAGTGTCCCAAAATATGCTGATATCCCTAAGGCTTTGAAGAAAAACACTGAGCCTTGTGAGTAAGGCAGATAAATATTATGTGGGTTGAACTGACTTTAATGATAACCCTTTATTCGTAATTTGTTTTAATAGATGCTGTGTCAGACCTTTCTCTTCTCCCTCCTTTTATTAAATAACGCCATGAGCAGACATTTAATAGACATTTAGCAATTAAGAGAAACAATTACATAATTACATCAAGTTGATTTTGATTGTTCCTTAAGCTGTTTGAAATTGTTGTGTAGGAAATATTTCACGCTTCCATGCTTTATTGTGTGGAATGTAGGCAAGTGAATAGTAAATAGTATATTGTTGTTCATATACATTATGCATATCCTAATATATTTGTTTTCCCATATTAGCTGCACCAAAGATATTTACATATGTCAATTCCATAGTGAGCTAGTGCATTAAACCAAATATATCATTTTTTAAAAATATATCTACAGGCAACACTTTTTTTGTTTTGGATAGAGTAGGGAAGGCTTAGAACCCCTGTCACATTTTTTATGCTATGCCCCGGTTAGGGAGATTCAGATTCTGTCTTTGTCCTGTTGACTACTGTCCCCAGGTTATAAAATAAGGGAAAACTATCATTATGAGTTGCCCCCAGAACAGGAATAGAGGGAAAATCTTCCAAAAAGGGATATTGGTTCCTGTGACAGCTGTCTAGGAGGGTACTTACCTAACTTTAACTAACTTTTCTACTTACTTCCTGTTGTGTTTTGCAGGACAGGAAGTGAAGGAAAATCTCTCCAATTGAAAAAATAACAAAATAAATAACAGGGGCTTGTTACCATTCTGTATTTTCTCCAAAATGAAAAGTTGTGGGCAGGATCATTCCTATAATGAGGCAGCCTGAGGCTGTTTTCCTCGGGCAGCATTTCTTTAAGTCACTTGGGGGGAGGCAGGTACAGCGGCAGGCCCACTGCAAATGTGCAGCGAGTTTGCCACCCCCTTTCCAGCCAGAGCGTCCCAGGTTGCTAAGAGCCAGGTGGAGCCATGCATATCTCCCTGCCCAGCTCTTAGCAATGTGGGAGGCGCTGGCTGACATACTGCCCAGCTCCTGGCAACCAGTAACATCACTATCTGCCAGGATCTGAGCGGGGCATGGCCAGAGCTTCCCACTCAGATCCTGGCAACCAGTGACATCAGTGAGCTGGGCAAGATGCACCACGAGCACCCTACCTCCATTGCTACCACCTCCCGGTTTCAGGTGGTGAAAATGATAGGGACATCCCTGGTTTTGGCTTTAGATTTACGTTAAGCTGCCAAGTGTCTTTACTTTTCTTTTGTGTCAAAGGAGTACATTTACTAATGTATACCTGTGACCCAAAATCAACAGATAGCTGGCCCGTATTCTGCCGATCAAGTAGATAGAATGGCCCGTATTCTGCCGATCAGGTGACCAGAGATTGTGAGTGTTTATTACACAACACTTTGAGGCAGAAAGCTTTCATTGAGTACATAACAACTTCTTGTCATGGTACCACCAGATGGTGAAGTACTTTGGGAACTGAAAGAGGTCAGCAGCACAGAGATTACCTGTAGGTGTTCTCATGATTGTTATATGTATTGAGAATACGTATACGTTTTGACCAAAGAATACGTTGTTCAAATACATTGACGACAGCATTTAACACCTAATGTAACAAAAAATAATAGCAATTCACAGGCGGCTGCACGTTTATCTTTACTTTTGTCTTTAGTTTGTTATTTATTGTTAGATTCCTATGGACTGCAGTCAGTTTCTTGTCCTGGAGATTAAATATACTCAGAGTGGCCTATTTGTGCATTTCTTTCATGTTAGCAATCTGTACTTGCACTTTGTGATCAGCGTTTGAATCCTAAAAATGCTTGGGTATGGGAATTATATATCTATAAGTCTATACTGCAGATTGTGAAATCGGACAACCCCCGTGAGGGTTAACCCTTAAAGGAGAACTATGAGGTGAGTGCTTTTCACTCACCTCATAGTTCTAGCTGACCTGTGACAATGAGACTGTCACATATCGGCTCAGTAGATCGGGAGGTGAGCGAACACATACCGGCGTTCGCTCACCTTGCTCTGCCTCTAGATAGGCAGAGCCAGCTGTCAGTCATGCAGCTGGACGGATCCCGGCATAATTGTCGGGATCCGCTTCAGCAGCGGCGTCTCAGTATACCGTGAGCAGCAGCTAGCGGTATACTGCGGTGTCTCAGTATACCGCGAGCTACAGCTCGCGGTATACTGAGCCTAGGGTGACGGGAGGACGCTAGTTTGTGTCCTTACGTTACCCTGAGGAGAACTATGGGGAAAAGCCTTAACCCAATAGTTCTCCTTTAATGTCTGCCTTTGCATTTATAGTATACCATGCAATTTAGAATGACCCATTAATTAGCTATACCTTGACAGACAACTAGATCTTTTAAAAGAAGAATGTATCCTTGGCCTTTGGCAAAATAGTCATAAAATAATTTTAGTACAGTAAGCAAAAAGCTTAGTAGATTACCTTTGTTATTTTACAAGAGATTAGATAGTCTGGTTAGTACTGGTAGAAGGTATAGACATGCTGTTCTTGGACAAGTGCGCATTATGTTTCCATAAACAATCCTGCACTTGATAGGCCACAAAATCTGTTTTTCTGTGTTATTTTTATGTGCTCTGTATTCATCATATACAAGCTATTTGGCAGCCTACACTAAAAGTGTGTATGAACCAACGTTATTGTAACATTTCCCAGCTAAATATTTTTAAAGGTTTCTAAACTTTGCTTTGTTAATTACAATCCTAGGTTTTTTTAGTCTTCTCATCCCTGAATGACCCTACAGCGTCTGCCTGGGATGTTTTTGTATATATTTTCCTTGTTTCTTTTAGTAATTCCTGATGAAGATCTTAGTTTAAATAATCTTTGCATTCAGTATAATGCTGATATAGTGAAAAGTTTGTAGTGTTTTCAGATGGATTCCTTATGTATAACTGCACTGTAGAGGGTTGTGCAGTAAAGCAATAAACAATGTGCAAAAGGAAGTAACGCATTACATCTAATTGGAAATCACCTTTTACAAGACATTAATACATTTTACACTACTTAATGAAAAAGTCCAAATATGCCTAGGGCTGACCAAGTTTAGAACATTTCTAAGTCAAAACTGGACCTGTTAAGTTGGTAACAAGCATCTCTGATGGTCAAAGGCATGGCTAAATTTGCACCACTGGAGCCTCTAGTCACACAACCTTTGGTTCTCAAAGGATCTCCCTTATGCCAAGATAAACTCTTTTACATTTTCTTTTTATTCTAATTCTTAACCATTGTTGAATATTATGACATTGGATGACCATATTTCTACTGAAAATTACTGGTAATGACTGCACATGCAAAGGCTGTCTCTTTGCCTCTGCTGCCAATAGGCACAAACCCACTGTGCCTGATGGTAAATCTGGGAGGGGCACTTCCATCACGTGAGTAGGGTCTGACATAAGTGAAGGATTTGAAGTACTGTGCATTCATTGCTGTCAACATTGGACAAAGGTTGCAGCATGTCCTGAGGCCTGTTTTGCTCATGTAAGGACAGGCAGATATCTTCTGACCGTTGATCTCAAGAAGATATCTGCACAGCAACCCAACATCACAGAACAGAATAATAAATAACACAAAGGAGTATATTTATTAGATTGGCT